ACTTGGTGAATCCCATGAAGCTGGAGCTGCTACTGAGGAAGATGAAGATGCCATGATGGTTGGTGCTAGTTCAATACTTGCTCATGGAGGAGAAGCTTCTATGGAACATGAAGAGGATGATGAAGAAGGTGTTGATCATGAATAATAAATATTGAGCCAACATGTTATTGTGTTGCGAGGAATATGTCCTACACTTTCAAAGTTAGAGTGTTCACGACCAACACCAGCGAAAATGTTAAGCTTAAGAAAGCAAATAGGTGGGCGTGCTAATGGGCGAGAAGTCACAAAAAACAATGCGAAGAGAGAGACAATTCATCTTTACTTTTCATGGCAGACTTAAAAAACCTCTATTGTCTAGAGTAGCATAATCGTTTGGAAAACGTATGGCTATTTTGATCAGCTTTTTTTTCAACTCAGCCAGCTCTTGCTTCCATTCTTGCTCCCATTTCTTCGATTCTTGCTCCCTCTTAATATCCCTCTCCTCCTATTCTTGCCTCCACTCTTTATCCTTATTCCTCAACTCTTGCTTCCACTCTTTCTCCCTCTCCTCCAATTCTTGCAACTCTTGCTTTAACTCTTGCTCTCTATTCTTCCACTTAATGTCCCTCTCCTCCAACTCTTGCTTCCACTTAACATCCCTCTCCTCCAATTTTTTTCAATCAATGAAAGAAATTCTTGATTGTCCTTTAATGGTACCAACTTGAAGTTAGAAACTTTTCGTTTTGATTGCTCATATTCTTCTTGCTCTGTTTCAGAGAGTGAACGTTTTTTTGAAAGCCCTTCAACTTTGAATTCCAACTCAGAATGTGTATTCCATTCATCGGAGTGAAACATAAATGTTGTACCCGAAGGAAGTTCTTTGGTGATTTTTTCAACATCAAAAAACGCTAATTTCCACAATGTTTGTATCAAAAGGCGACACTAACAAATGTTCGAGCTGAAAAAGGAGTCTATTTATTAAATAAATATTAAGATTTTCAATTCTTAAGAATAAGGCTAAATTTGGTTGGCATTTCAATATATGTTGCATCGTTGTTCGAAGGCCTCAACAAACCTGCAGCCACAGAGAACAACCATTTAGCCAAGTTGGCCCTCGCTGCCAAAATTGTTGACAAGTTATGCACAGCTGTTCGAATTTGTATTTGGGTGGCTGAGAAAGGATTTGAAAAGAGGATGCATCATGGTCACGGTCATTCTAAAATACCCCAATTCTCGTGTGGTGTCAAAGATTTCTCGTTATATCATGGCCGATAGAAAAAATACAATCCCTCAAGTGAGTTTGTGTG